TTTCATTCTGTGAGTCAAGCTAATTCAGAAACACCACAGTACAATTTTTATTTCATGTGCACTAGGCACATTTAGTTAATCTTGCCTCATGGGCTATGCTACCCATAGATGATTAAATTATTGGCTAATAGCCAACTGTGTTAAAATTCCTGAAAGTAAGGCTTTCTTAAGCGACCATGGTATTAAACTGAAATAGTGTTTGTGTCCCAGAGAGATTAATGAAAATATGAATACAAAACTGTATTTGAACTTCTACTACATCCAGGAAATTCAGGTCTTTTAGCTGTCATTTGTATCAGTTTCTGTGATGTACTGAACATCACTACGTATATTGATTACGTATATACAATCCCCGTATTCAATCACTGAGAGTCTTGGAAGTTGCTTGTAACTACATGAACTTATTGCTGCAGTGCCTCAGGAAACTCTTTCTCAAATTTCAGACAGGTATTTAAGGCATAACTGCAGTTTGACACACTAATATGCACCGAACAACTGCAGCAATTCAAATTCCATTTTGGGGTATGAGAGGGGAAAAAGCAACAAAAAGAAGAGATATTGCATTATTTATGGCTTAACCGATGGATTCCTATTTGCTTGTTCTATGGAAAAAATTCCAATGTACAGCCCATATCTAGAGTGACAGCTCAACACATCCCATCCATGGCACTCTTCCGGCTATCCTACAGTATCCTTTACTGCAATCTAACTGTCTGTAACCTAATTGATCCATTAAGGCAACTGAATCCCTTCCAGTCACCACAAGCTGAAACAGCAGCTCAGAGAATTAACAGTTGATTCTTATGACGACTCAATAGCTTACAATGGATTTAATCATACTCTGATTTGGTTTTGGGTATTTTGTCCACAACAACATAAAGTACTGGTGTATGTACTTCCCTGACACACAGCAGCACACCCTTTCACTCAGCAATATTCTCGAGGTGATTTATGCCCCAAATGCCTTAATATTGCACCATGCAAAGACAAAGAGCTGAGCACTCTCAAATGCCTCAGGAAAGCCTGGGACAATGCTGAACCCAAGAAAATGATTCTGCAGCCACATTCAAGAAAAGCAGAACTGCACTGTTGGGGCACAGCCATACTTTTAAATCGCATGTAAGACTTTAACTGCAAAATGATGAGCTAAACCTGGTCTGGAAAAACAATATATCCAACAACTAATTTTCTGTAAAAGACAGAAGAAAAACAACAACAAATGTTGCTCAAATAATCAAAATTCACTCTTTTACACCTGTAAGTGCACAAAAATATCCCAGTGCTAACAGAAAAGGGAGAGAAATGAACATGGAAGGTTGAAGTTTAAAAAAATGCCTGCTGGACAAGCTTGCCAAAGAGGGTAGGCATCCTATTTAGAAGTCTGTCAAAAAACCGTACAAGAACTGTGCATTAACGGCATGGGCAGAGCATGGATTAACCTGCTTATGTATTTGTGGAAACAGTAATTTTTCAACCAATCATGTTAAATAAGAATTTAAGCTCGCTTACCCAGATTTCTAACTGGATTTCATGATTACAGCCAGACACCATGGGAAACTGGGACAAAATTAGCTGAAATCATGGAACAATTTTGTATGAGGCACTGAAAGTAGTACACCATAATTCTTGTTTATAATTATCCTTCAGACTAGAGATTTCTACATTTCTGATGAAGCTTTTCTGTGAATTGAAGTACAAGCTCCAGTTATCTAGAATATGTCTCTGAAGATGGGGTGGGAAGAACCCTCAAGTTTGAATACCTAAAATTGGCAAAGAGGAGACAATTCAAATCTCCTGAATGGAATTCGTTAACATTTAAGCAGACATGCGATGGCACAAGTGTTTCACAAAGGTTCTCAATTCTCAGAAGAGTAGAAAAACTACTAGTTATCAAGCACAACTACTTGACAATTCTCAGACTTTTTTTCCCCTCTATGCAGCTTAATTTACCACTAACCAAACATCAAAGCAGCAAAGGAAAATCCTCTCGTCCCATAGAAAAGAAAGCTAACATAATGCGTTAGATATTATGTTATCACCACTGCTGACAATCATCATTCCTACGTATCTGCTGAAGAACAACCCAGAGGTATTGCACCCATTTATTCCGCCCAGTACAGGAGTGCAAATCAAAGTTAGACGAAACTCCAAGAGCATTTTCATTGGCCGGCTCTGAACAGCATGGCATTTGCTCTGAATGAATATAAAAAACCTGGCCGAGATGGTCTGACTACCTCATGATTGTTTTCATGCTGAGTAACAGCTTTTATCAACACGTCGGTAAGAACAATTTAAGAACATATTTTCCTAAACCCAACAGAAAACCCTTCCTGTTCAAATTAACAGACATTAAACCAGTTATTTACTGACATTTTTCAGAACCGTATCACCTCAGTTAAGGATTAGAGGCAGCCTAAAGTTTATAGCAGAAGTGACTGAGCTGTTTTTGGCGCAGCTTATTATAAGTTGTGGCTCTAGGCTGCAACTGTCCCAAGACTGCCATTGTGTATTCCAAACAAGTTGTAAAACTACAACCTCAGACTTCCGTCCCTATTTTAGGTTTTTTTTTTCCCCACCCATACTCCCTTTTGGCATAGTATACTTTAATGTAGGCTGCCTCTTTTTCTGATTAATCATGGTGACAAGAGAGCAAATTAAAAAAATCAATCTTAATTGCTATATTACGAAATTATTAGTGGTGGAACAATTCCACAGCAGCCTTGCGCCTAAATAAATTCTGGCTATTTAACATCTGTCAAGAAAAAACATCCATAGGAAAATTTTAAAGTACTAATATCTATTAGAATATACTCAAAGGCAGAGATTCTCCCTCAAGTGACACTGACTTTCTTGGTAAGGAAATTTTGCTTTGTTTGCAAACGCTTGATTTATCTACGTATTTGTATTTCAGTATATTGTCCTTCTACACTGCCAGTGTTGCTAAGGCTAAAACTGAAGAGATACCAGCTTCAGCATGTAACCATCATATCTCTGTGTCTGCTTTTAATACTCAAATGCAGTTCTGCAAATACTCATGTGTGTGCTGACAAAGCAGGTATCATCACTTCGCCCATCCAAAGCAGATGTACTTTGTTATAATAAGACAGAAAACTTGCTTTTGTTTTTTTATATGATAGAAGGGCAAGAAAAGTAAATAAAAGTTATTCTCATATGATCTTCTCACAGTTTGGGAGAGAATAAAAGGCATCACAAGTTTGAGAAAACTGAAATTACATAATACTTGTCATAAAAGTTTTTTTTAGAAAAATTAATTAGACAAGAGACCTCCGAGAGCCACCTAGTCACACTACCCATTTAACATACAGCTAAACCTGAAGTTAAACCCAGATTAGTCAACGCCTCCTTCAATCAAATTCTGAAAATCCCAAAGGGTAGACAATTTTCATGCATACCTATAGAGTAACCATGACTCAAAAGGTTTTGATAGTATTTGCATGTAGAAAGTAAGACCAGAGATGGTCCAAAAGAGAAGCAATGTAAACAAACTCACTTTTAACCAATGGAAGGTATTCATTCCATAGATACAGTGAGGTCAAGATAATTCAGATTATCTGGGGTGTGAGAGAGAGAGAAATGGTTCTTTAGGGCTTTCACCAAGTTGATCCTTGTAAAGCAAGGCATAACATTCCAAGTCATAGAATGCTTTGGGTTGGAAGGAACCTTTGGAGGTCATCTAGCCCAACCCCCCTGCAGTGAGCAAGGACATCTTCAACTAGGTCAGGCTGCTAGATCAAGGAGGTTGTCAGTTTGAAAAGGACAACATATTACTAACAAGCTTTTGCTCTGCACCGTTTTAAGGTGAAAGATTTTCCTTCATTTTAAGTAACACAATGTGTTAACTCTTGAATGCTGCTTCAGTTTACCTTTGGTTTCTGCAGCACTTCTAGTTCATTCAGACTTGTCACACCTGACAGAAGTCAGAAGTATTAAGCTGCTAGCCTCAAGTAAAGTCAATCTTCCTAATACCTTGAAGCTCACAAAGCTATTTCTAAACCCAGATTACTTGTAGCACTGAGCATTGTGTACTTTCCAGCTAATTAGAAAAAATAAACACTTTAAAAACTGAATTTCACTGCTATTTCATACAGACTTAGTAAACAGAGCCCTTAGCACTTAACATTGTTTGTTTGAAGAACAGGAACCTAGAAGAGGAAACAAAAGTGTAGTACTAATGTAAAGTAGATTTTCTCTTCAAGCTCTGTTCCTACAAGACTGAAAAAAATACTAATTACCAGTCACAAGGAATAAGAAACAGAATGGGGTAAGTGTTGCTATCTATTCTCTGCCATTAGGCTGCTCAAATAACACGGTGACCCTTGAGATTCTCTGTCCTGCTTTCACCTGTTGAAGAGGAATTAAGCTTCAGATTGCAAGCAAAGTTTAATACAGTAGACCAAAGCCTCCATACAAAGTAGCTTGATGTGAGGAGCAGTTTTACAGAGGTTCCTTTATGGTTTCACTTTTCACACACCATTCTGTCCAGTAACTCCTTTTGGTATTAATATCAATTACCGCAACAGCCAGCTATGGCCTGTATTCCATAATTACCAAATCAGTAAGAATAGTTCTTCAAACAATCAGAGCAGTGTTATCTTGAAATACAACGCCAACTTGTTTATAACCAAGGTTTTACAAAGACAGTAAGAAACTGGTGCCTTCCATGGCTAATATGAGACTAGGCAGCTGAATACCCTGGGTAGTTTACAGCATTACAGCCATAAAACACTACAAGAGCTCTGCTTCCATACATTTTACAGTTTAAGCTGTTTTCCCCTCCTGTTTCAGGTTGCTGGGGTATTTTTGTCAATAAAAGTGAAAAGCAGCAAGCAGAGTAAAAGCCAGTGCTTAAAGATACTGCCACGTCTTCAGCATTTGCTCAGTTTTATTAATTGGTTCTTCATACACACATTAGCACTGTAATCTTCTTCAAGGTCTAGTCACTGCAAAATTCAGCTACAAGGTAATTAAGTACTCCTTACCTTCAGAATTATTCTAGTATCTTCTTTACTAGAGCCTCCGTCTACTCGAGTCACTCTATATTCCAACCACTGCTGAACCACAGCCTTCTCTTCTGCAGTGCTTCCAAGCAGTTGGTCTTTCTTGGCCTGTTTAACTAGGTGGGCAGCTATGGTCATTAATCCAGTCAGACCAGGACCATTGTTTGTTTGAAGAACAGGAACCTAGAAGAGGAAACAGAAGTATAGTACTAAGCAACTAATTAAAAAAGCAGTCTCTAGGAATAGCTATTGTTTTTTAATAGTCACTCAAAAGGATCATTAAAGCAATATATAAGAATTTAGAAGTATTCCTACTAAAGGCAGCAACACAAAAAAAAGTGTATGTTTTCTTTTTACTCTGTGGAGTGGTTTATTTTTAGTTTTTACAGAAGAATGGTATTTAACATATGCACATGGGCAAACCAGGACACCTTTAGCTCCAATTAATCAAATTCTGCCAACATTAGCAAGAAATAGCATTGCTTGTTCTAACACTGGCAGAAACCTTAACTTTTAAATCACTTTTATATTTAGTACTCTGACTTAAGATTCTGAAGTCAGCAGCATCCAGCTTCTCTCCAAGCAGACTGCAGTAGCCAGACTCTCAGAAATGCTTATTCATGTTCACTGTTCTATTCCAAAACGCTCTGACAGAAGTCAGTAGTTCACTGGTATCAGAGGAGGACAACACAACACACCTCTGGGTTTAACTGTATCTTTCTCAGTGACATTAGCACATGTTAAACTGTGGGAAAGGAAACTGAACCTCTAAGAACCAGAAATGAAATGAATGAAGTGAAACTCAATGGGCTTTAGTCTGTTGCAGTCATTCATGACCTCAAATGATAGAAGAGAAACTGATTAAAATGCAATGCTCTTTTTTTTTCCAAGTATCAGACCCCACAGAGGAGCCCATTCAGGTTTGGATTTAATTAACATAAGATGCAAGTTGAAAGCATAATATTAATTTTGCAGTTGTATCAAGAGTCTTTGGCTACTATTCAATTTTTCCACTGAACACACAGTCAGATAAACTGCAGACAGATCTAGTTACTTGATTATTCAGACTTATGCTTTACAGTAATAGCATTAAAATACCACTTGGGTTGTTACATAATTAAGAAACTTTTTGCAATGAAAGAATGCATATATTGATATTCAGGACTCAAATCATAAATAGTAAACAAAGTCAAGAAAAAAACCCACACAAAAACATAAGGAACAGCTTCTCTTCTGTCTCAAAGAACCACGTAAAGGCCCTCACACATTTGTGACACTCTCAGCCCCACATCAAGTTTTTCATGCCTCAGCTGCATATTAAACCATGGAACTTAATGTTTGCATGTGAACTTCAAAATGTCAACACATCTGCTTCAAAAGAGAAAAATATTTAAGAGAAACTGTG